TTCAAGTAACTTGAATCGTCGGTTGCATTCTTGAAGATCGGAAACGTGCTTTCAACAATTTTTACAATTGGATCATCGGATGACTCTAGTAATAGATCATCTGGTATGTCTATCAGAGAACATCCATCATTTTTACCCCCCAATGTTCCATCTCCAATGCTCGCTATCCAATCAACAAAAGCGGCCAACTCGTCACATTCATTCGAATCGCCAATGCTCCGAAGACGCATATTCTTTGTAAGGCTAAGCACAGTACATTCTCCCCAAATGCTAGAAGAGTTAATAGCAGCATTAACAATCTCCTGACGACTCCCCTTTGGAACTACCGGAATGATTTGTAGAAAGTCTCCACCAAACACAACAGTCTTGCCTCCGAACGGTTTATGATGATTTGTCGGGTCGAGGGCTCCCATCACTGCCTTAAAAGATGCTTGCACAACTTCAAAACAATTCTTATGCATCGTTGGGGCCTCATCCCATATGAACAATGAAGAGCGAATAATCAACTTGGCAAGGGGGCTAGCCTGATTGATCTCACACGATGAATTTTCATGCACAGAAATAGGAACTTCAAATCGAGAATATTGTGCAGTCCGTCCGCCCGGCAACAGGAGAGATGCGATTCCACTTGATGCAACACAAAGCACAATTCGACCGTGCAATCTTAGCCGAGCAGCTAAAGTCCTCCACAAGTATGTCTTTCCAGTTCCACCATAACCATACACAAAAAAACACGCCGCCCCTGCCGGAATTAACAGATTTCATTATTTGGAATAAACACCCTTCGGTTCATCGGTCATATGTGTCAGCAATGCATCATGCTCAATAGCTAGAGCCTTACGGTCATAGTTAAGTTCATCCAAAACCAGACGGTTCACACTTTAATTAATACTACCCATATCTGGAAAAGACATAGTAGAATAGTCCTTTATCTCAAACTCAACCTAACTCAACCCAACATAATATTTATTTTATATTTATTTTATATTTATTAAATATTATCAACAATAATTTTTTGTTATTGTTTTAGTTGTGATATGATAAAATAAAAGATATGATAAAATTGATAAGTTACGATTAAGAAAAAAGAGTGAAAAGATAGAAAATGAAATTATGTTCCAAAATATATCAAGAGTGGTCTCTATTTATAGAGAATGAAAAATAAATTTTTATTTAATTTTTTCATATAAATTAATATAAAAATTTGAGTTACAGTTATCTTATTATAGAAAATTTTTACAGACCAATAAGAATGAGACACTTGCCCCGTTTCACTCACCTCATTTCTCTCTCCCTCCTTGTGGCTAGGTTGCGATCCAAGGTCACAATTTGACTTGAGTCGCGGATTTTGCTATTTTTTTATTCTTTTATTATTTTTTAGTTGGTGATCTAATAAAGATAGTATAATATTTATTTTATTTTTATTTATTTAATTAATAAATATTATCTACAATACATTGTTTGGTATTATTTTATCTACAACTTAACACAACATAATAATTTCAATTGTGTTCCAAAACATACCAAGAGTGGTCTCTATTTATAGAGTATGAAAAAATACGAATTTTGGTATTTTTTTATTTTATTTTTTAAAATAAAATAATAACAATAATTTGAGTTATACTTATCTTATGGACCAATGAAAATAGGACAGTTGTCCCATTCCTTTTGTATGAAAGTTAGATAATATGGAATCTTCAAAAAATCTTCATGTAATCTTTTTATTTAAATTATTTAATTTATTTTTTTTTCAACATTTTCAAAATTGGTTGGATGGCGCTCAGATTTCAACTTTTTTTTTTTTTT